GGTGTCCTAGGTGGCATCAATTGTGAAACGATTCCGCATTACTTGAGGTATTCGATGAATTTAAGACTAAGTTACTCTCCACCTCAATCGGATCGAAGCATCTTGATTTTCCTGCCTAAATGATTCTCCACTTCTTTCTTAAACTCTTTGAACTTTTCAAAAGTTTATGACTTGTGCTTGATTAAGTAGATATACTCATACCTGCTATAATCATCAGTGAAAGTAAAATAGAAGCGACTTGCATCCCTTGTGGTGGATCTAAGGGGCCCACACACATCGGTGTGTATGAGATCTAATAAACCCTCACCCCTTTCACAAGTACCCGTGAAGGGTGATTTGGTCATCTTTCCAAGTAAACAAGACTTGCACACGCCATCATCCCTAAAGTCGAATGACTCCAACACTCAATCCTTTTAGAGTTGTGTTATGCGCTTCTTGTTGACATGTCCAAGATGACAATGCCACAAACATGCTTTATCCAAACTATTGGAAGAATCGATATGCAATACACCGTTTCCTAAGTTATCTACAACCATCACAGTTTCTTATATTCCATTACAAGGCAATGCTTCAAAATAGAAAACACCATTAAAGAAAACATTAATAGAATCTTTTTCATTATCAAATGAAATTCCAAATCCTTGTTTATATAAACCATTAAAAGAAATGATGTTTCTTGCCATTTCTTGTGAATAGCAACAATTATTCAAATCTAGTCCTAACCTACTACTAAGCACTAAAGAGTAAACTCCAATCTTGGTGACAAGCGACTCTCTTCTGTTCCCAATGATAAAGTTTATCTTCCCATGCTCCACATCCCTTCTTCTTCTTAGGCCCTACAAATCAGAACAAATGTGAAAACCACACCCTATATCGAGAACCCAAGAAATAGCATGTGATGAGTTATTAGATTGAATGGTATAAATACCTACGGAGGACGACTTGATCTTCCCATCTTTGATATCTTGCAGATATTTCGGGCAGCTTCATTTCTAATGTCCTTTGTCATGGCAGTGGTAGCACTCTGCATCCTTCAGGTTCGAGGAGGGTGCAGAGAGACCAGCCTTGGTTCCACTAGAAGAGGTATCATCATGGGACATTCCCTTATGGTGGCTCTTAGAAGGAGCCTTCCTCTTATTACTCTTCCATTTCCTAATAGCCAAGACAAGGGCGATAATAATGGAAGTTGATGCAACATATTTTTCCTTGAGGTTGCTCTCAGCAGTCCTCAACAAGCCTTGAAGCTTGCTCAAAGTGACCTCCTCCTTGTTCATGTAGTAGGTCATGCAGAAATGGTTGTAACAAGGAGGTAAGGAATGAAGAATGATATCAATCGCCAGCTCCTAATTGAAGTTAATATTTAACTTCGGCAGCCAGTCGACATATCTCTGCATCTTATGCAGGTGAGCTGTGATGGACTCCCCATCCCTCGTCTTGGTATTGGTCATCGAAGTGATGATCTCGTACCTCTCCTGCCTGGCACTTTGGTGGTACTGTCTCGTAAATTCTGATGCATCTCATAGGGATAAAAGTCCTTGTAGGACTTTTGTAGTTATGAAGTCATGGCCGTGAGCATGATGCAATGGATTTTTGTAGCATCGTGCTCATGTGGCTCAAAGGCAGCAATCTCCTCAGGAGTAGCAGTGTTGACATCCACTTCTTTCAGCTACTTGTCGAGGGCATATTACTTGTCCTCGTAGCAGGTAACCATTCAAATGTTTTGGATCCAATCATTAAAATTGGTCCCATCGAAAATCACCCTCCCACACAAATTCATGAGTGAGAATGAGCTGAAAGAGTTTGAGTCGGAAGCGTTGTTGTTCGAGGTGGACATCTAAAAAAGAAAAGTGACAAAGTTTGATTAGATAAGAATCCCCAATTAAACACCCAAAAGAGAAATTTGGGCTAGGATCCAACAACATTATTTACAATTTAAAAGAGGGACACCATAATCTAAACAACAAATAATTTGAAGGTAAGTGAATAACGATTCATGAATTTCCACCATGAAAAACGAAAAAGAATTAAGTTTTAAATGTATTGAAAACTCCTAGATACTTTGAGATTCATTGAACTTTTCAATGGCATGTTTAAATCCCAATATGCCCTTCAAGTTTGTGATTGGGATACCGATGATCATAAACAAGGTGTGAATAACCATGAACATGTACTTAGTGCCCTTAATGTTAGAGTCACCTAATCAATGTGTTGGCTAGCCATACACACTCCATTGATCTATGACAAACATCGAGTGTAGATTGAGGATGTTGCAATTTGGGTCTAGTTATACATTTTTTTCTGTTTTGGTCTCAAGCTATTAAGAGCTTAATAAAAGGGGTGACAAGCTACTCAAGTATGCAGGAAGTAACCCGTAAGTATGCAGTGCGTATTGGGATTTTGCATTGTTTATTTTATGTGGAAGCTCGGTACATAGGTCGTAAGGAAGGCACATTGCGTACTCCCAAAAGTGCACTTGGGCCATTTTTGGGCCTTGGACCATGTTTGGTTGTGTCTAGTTTGGAAAGTGTAGAATGGTCTTTTACCTTAATGAGAGAGAATATGAAATGGACCTTTGATTAAGGATTATTACCCTAATTATTAATTAGGGTTGCTTTTGGATATATTTAGCATGAGGAACCTTTATTGCAACATCGCGTGTGTGATTTGATTATCTTTAGATTGAGGTGAGTCTTCTCACTATATACTTAAGAGAAGCACTGGAAGAACAACCACACACTACACATGATTGTCATAGATCAGTAAGTAGATCAATCAATATAATAACTAGGATTAATGGTAAGTCTAATACACAAATTCATAAAAATGATAATGGGTATACCTTATATCAAGTTCTAATTAAGGGAAAGTGCAACTTATATGATTGAAAAATAACTCATAAAACAGCAAGCGTAACTTTGACGTTTTCTCCTTCTCTTAAGTATATTTAAGAAACTTCCAGTGATTTGCTAACGGTACTACAAAACAAGAAATCGAATCAGGACGGACTTCGATCTCAAGAGGGAAAGAGAGACTTGAGAGTAAAATGATGGAAGAAAATGAGGAGGCTTGAGCCATTATTTATAGGCTTGAATACTGGTCCCTGCGTCGTGCCTTTACAAGAGTGACGTCATGTCAATTGGTCAGTCAGGTTCGTTCCAGCTTGCATGAAATCACTAGATAGAGGTATAGGTGCCTTTAATGCAATGTGCCACTAAATTTATATAATCCGCTAAAACTTATAAAAATCTTAACTTTTGCATAGAAACTCCATTTTTCGATGGTCTTGTTAGAATAATAAGAAGAAAAAGAGCACCATGAAATTCATAAGCTCCTTTATATAGTTAAACACATGATCTAAGCACCATAAATTTCAATAAATGCAAAGGTAAGGTGACGAAAAAGCATGGAATGTGTTAATGGGAGGTTGTCAAGCAACCTCCCATTCTTTTTGAAATTCACGGCTCCAAGAGGAAAGTAGGGATATGTGGTGTGTCCAACTCATCAAGAATTATCTGCTAAGTATATAAGTTTATCTAGTGAAATCAAAAGAGCTAAAAACATGTACATGACTTATTAAAAGATATCATGAGTTAATAACTAGTCTCGACTTTCTTGAAATATTAGTTTTAATAAAATAATAATTATTCCATAATTAATTACAACTGTTGAATATAACTATTAATAATCAAATTACTAATAAATATTCAATAAATGACAGTTAGCTATAAATGTAACCCTATAGTGTCATATGTTATTGGAAAATATCATTCTAACATGACACTTGAGCATATAGATCGACCAATCCCCCACTTGCACAAGCAGGTCGCTTGTAACGTCCCGAATTTTAACCCAAAATTTGCATTTTTATTTACTAAAATATATCAAAGTTATAATTACATAATGTGGAAACATGTTGCGAATGTGCCTATGTGTAGTCAAACCTTGGCCTTCTCATGAATTAGTGAAGTATGTGAAAAACATTATTAATCAACTTGGTAAGCATGAGGCTTAGTGATTTCCCCAAAATATCATATACCACACTACATATACATGCGTACAAATAACGACTAATGATTTGCCAATATATATCTTGGAAGATGACTTTTTTTAAATCCCGCCCTCTTTAACCCTTCCACCATCATCCCCTAACTAAATCTATGTTGGCCTATAGGTTCCAATCCTCTTAACCATTCCACCATTAGTCCCTACCTATCATAACAATTACACCTATAGAGATTGAACTTTAGATTATACTAATAAAGGCACATTTATACCTTCTACTTTACTAGCTCTCTATCCTAATATACATGGATATATATATATATATATATATATATATATATATATATATATATTGTAATACATGGTGTAGTGAGATAACTCACCCGGATAGTTTCTCAAAAGATTAACAGCTTTCTAGCGATAACTACAAGAAAATAGCCCTTTAATGACACGCAAACAATGACACTCGCTGATAGACGACACGCATTTGTAAGTGCCCTAAAAGATAATGTCAGTTTTGCAAAATTTGAAGGATAGAGGGCGCGCACAAATTAGTGTCAGAAAAGAAAAAAAAAAAAAAAAAAGAAATGCGGAGGGCGCATTTCATAAAATGTGCGTCATGTAAAGGCGTCGCTTTATAATTTTTAAGTGAAACACGCGTTTTAGGCGGGAAATGAAATCAACAAAAATCACCCCCTGCCTATTGAACCCTAAAAATTAATCCCCCCGCCTCTTCTCCTTAGCAAGAAAAAGCCCTAGGTCCCTCATCTTCATCTTCGGTATCATCAAACATCTCGTTCATCCTCTGCATTATTTCCATCGTTCTTCCCTCTCCTCACTGATCAATACCCAAAAAACCCTAATATCATAACCACTCCTCTTTTCTCGCACAACAAAATCCCAAAACATCACCAAATACTAAATTCCACAAAATCTTTGTGACCATTTTAGCTAGGGCTTTTTTCAAGAACGAAAACAATCTCGCATCTCTCTTAGCTATGAAACAATGGACGATTCACCTTGCTTCGCCTTTGGTCACTTCTCCTCCAGTGACGTCAGGCCTTCCTCATTACAAATCGACCAATGATAATTTAATACTTATAACTGAATCGTTTCACCCTCAATTGGGTGTGCGACTCCTCCATCGCATTGATGACTACGAATGTGACTCTTCCACCACACCTGTGATTGCGTCCTGTCTCACCTCCCTAACCGCTACCTTAATAGGTTTATCTATTCAATTAGATTTTTCTTTTCAGTTAGAAATTGATTTCGTCCCCTCCCAGCTCTTCATCTCTTCACTAAAATCGCTCTTCATCAATCCACTAAAATCTTCACGGTTTCTTTAATTTCACTCCAAGGGTTATTTGATAGCTTTTGTATGGTTTATTCCCTACACTGAATCGCTAGTCAAAACCATTGTGATGGTTGTGGCGGAATCAAAATGCAGGATTGAACCATTGTAGCAGAGAGATCTTGAAACTTTTGATTAATACTTCTCAAGTTGTCTCCAAGGTAATGTGAACCTCTTGATACTTCTCATGTTGACTGTCTTTTTTTAGTATAACTATCGTCTTTTAAAATTAGGGCTTCTGTTTGAATCATTTCATTGAACGACATGTGATTCAGACCACCTTCTCAATTTATTTGACATTAAAGAACTGTGCGTTGAATTTCTTTGTCATGTCCAATTTATCTCGACCAGATCTCAAGCAGGTTTCGATCTTCATCTCTATTGATGCTCTAACTTTTTTCCTTCAATGGAACTGTGGATTTTTATAAACCCTAGCTTCTACATAAACCCCTCTTTTAATCGAGCTTGGAAAGACCACATGGCTTTCCACATTTAAGAGTTCTTCCTGAAGATGTATTATTATTATTATTAAATATTACTCTCTTCATAATAAAATCATGCAAGAAAATGAAATTCCTTTTATTAATTTATTTGTTTCTAATAACAGAGTGGTGCAATGCTTGATATTTCTAATTATGAACGAAGAGTTGATCATCATAGAGATATGCGTATGGATATCGATCATATGTCTTATGAGGTATACAAAGATTGGCTTCTTTTTTAGTCAAATTACAAAAATGACCTTTTGTGTATATGCAGGAGCTTCTTGCATTAGGTGAGCAGATTGGGAATGTTGGATCGGGGTTATCAGAGGATTTTATTTGAGGTTATTTGTAAACAAGGGTATTTATGTCTTCTAAGTTGGAAGTTGTTTCATCTGCTGATCAAGAACTTAGTTTCTGCACAATTTGTCAGGTAAGGGCAAATTCGTAAAAAGTTAGGGAAAGAAAGTCTCATTTCTTGATTTTCATGCAGGTGGTTTGCTTTTCAACAATGGGACGTCTGAAAGAGAGTCAGGTGTAATTTTCTAGGTCTCCTAATAGGAGGAAGCAGATTTCAAGCTCAACACAAGAGCTAGTAGCATTCTTTTCTGAGACTCAAGAGGCAGTCTATACAAATTCCAACAGAAAAGTACCTAAAACTGAAGGTGGCAACAATAACATGATGATACGTGTAGCCGCAGAAAATCAACAAGGTGGTGTTACTGCTATAACCCATGGGGAAATGCCAAATAATTTTGGTAAATTTATATCCTGTTTATGATGGTATTTATTTTTTATGCGTAGTGTAGTAAATAAATATATTTGTGTTGTGATATGATATTAGCAGGTGGGAATAAAAGCTTGTACAATGACAGGGTTGAGTCTTTTGTAGTAGCAGCAGGAGAGGGTCAAGACAGGTAATTTCAGTTATTAATCCTGTAATAGATAATTGATATGTTTTGGTTTCTTATGTTGAGGGTTTGTATGCAGCAGGGGGTCAAACGGTGTAGTAGTAGTAGTGATAATATAAATATATTGGTGAGACGTCCTTCATCATCATCATCATCATCTCATGAAGGGGGGTTATGTGAGGTGGATTCAACTTTCAGAGAAAGAGAAACTGGGGAGAACATGATGATGATGGTAGGTGGTGGTGGGTTTAGGAGGACATCATCATTGAGTGATGCATCCGTGGCAGTAATACTAATCATCTTATTAGGAAGCCACCTTCACCAGATCCAGAGGGTACAGCAGAGGGACACAATAGCAACCGTATTATGATGGGAGAGATCCAACGCATTCAAGATTTAACCCCTCCTTTCCCCAAGTTTTGTTTTTTATTTTATTTTATTATTATTCTTTCTTGTGGTATTTATATCTATCTATATGTATCTGTATTGTATGTATGTACGTAGAGAGTATTGGTTGGTTTGGTTGCATAGAGTAACTGCATCTGTATGTACCATAGGGTTTTTTTCTAGTTCTACTCTTTTTACACGTGTTAAAAGGTAAGAACAGCGGATAAAACTAGAAGCCTAAATGAAAATTTTGGGGTAAGAGTTCAAATCTAAACCAGTTTTCTTAATAATATCCCATAAAGTAATGTAATCATATACAAATAGAAAGACCATTATATTTGTTTACTCATATCCTATGTTATCTATGGTCAGGGGTGGCAAACTAAAAGATGTTGCAGTTGATGCTCATATACTTTCCTACTGTTGGTCTGGTGATCTCATTAGATCTATCTTTTCCTCTGGTGATTCAAGATTTCCTTATGTGCATTCAAATGATTTAGTCTTTGAGGTTTATTTGGGTTCTCTTTTGTCCTAACGTGCAGTTGATGCTCATAGGGATTGTGATCTCACCAAGTGCTAATTTAAAGAGACTTGGAGGTTTATTTGGGTTCTCCTTTGTAAGCTATTTTTATTTGCGGGCCTTGCATGTAGCTGTGTTTGCTGATGGAGCAGTTACAGAAGGCTAGAGCTGCAGAATCTGATTTGGTGGGTGGTGAGAATCCTATTGAAGGAATAAAAAAAATGGTAACTTGCACTCTCATTAGCTCATATCATAATATTTTAGTCTCACTATCTTCGAATTCATTAGTTATGATCCTACTGCTCTCATCGGGTAGTATTAACATAAAAGAAACTGACAAGTTCATTGAAATTAATGATTTCTTTTTTTGGAAAACCTATTTGAAGAGTACAAAGCAAATTTAGGACACTTGACCTTTGATAGCATATCGGGTAAATCTATTTTATCCTTAAATTAAGTTTTATCAATTGAAATTAATGATTTGTTGTTTAGCTTGTTATTTTAATGAAATCAGTTTTATTAAAATGAGTTTTGTTTATGTCATGGTCATGATAGATTGGTACACTGAGATGCTGGCCTGGTGGCTTTTGTCTTTCACTGTAAGTGGCTATGTAGTCTTTAAATTTTACCCTTTCAAGTCCTTTACATGTATAAGGGTTGTTGGAGCTGGTAGAAAAAGGCGTAGATACAATAAAATAATCAACAACAGGTAAATTGTAACTAACTCCAAGTAAACTAATTTTCTTAAACTTCAACTCCAGATATGCTAGGTAACTTGGTTGTTTCTGCTGATGAAACAGGTCAAGTTGGTCCTTGTGTTGCTTGTCGTTGTCAAGTATTTTTTTTATTTATAATTAAATATATTATTAGATTAGATTTTTTGGTTTTTACATTTCTCAATTGTAGGTTTTAAGGAGTGTGAGTCAATGGTCAGCTGGGACAAGTCAAGTTGAAGAGAGCATTCACAAAGCTTACATTTCTCTTATTGAAAAAGCTGAACACTTTATCTACATTGAGGTACATCATAACTTAACAAAATATTTTGGTTTTTCGTAATTTTGGGTAATTTTATAAAATATAACTTTTTTTTCGATATTGATTCGGGTAAAAGAAAACCCATTAGATACGGGGAACCCGATGGATATCCGTTTGGTAAAAAAATCCATATTTTTTTATAAATCTGAGATATATAAAAAGATATAATAATAATAATCATGATAACTAAAACATTCAACCTTGAGTGTCACTGAAAAAAATCATATTACATAGATCAAAATTAAAATTACAACAAAAAATGATTACATATATACATTTAGATTACAGCAAAAAAGATTCAATGGATGCAATAAAAATTACAAATAAAAAGATTATTATGTAAGTTGAAAATGTCTCCTAATTCCTGAACATATATAATCATAACCGATAAAAAAACTGAAAATAGATACAATCATAACCGATAAAAAAAACTGAAAATAGATATAATCATTTAATAAGTTACAAATCCAAAATCACTGAAAATAGATACAATTATAACCGATAAAAAAAACTGATTTAGTTAGTTTCTACTTTCTAGTAGCGACAACACGTTTCCATGATAGCATGAAAGTGGTATTAAGTATTTGCATTCTTATTATATTATACCCCTAACATTTTCCCAAATTACCCCTTCCTCTACAATTATTATTATTATTATTATTATTATTATTATTATTATTATTATTATTATTATTATTTTGTTTCTGTGTATTTTCTGCATGAGGTAAAGTTGATGGAAGAAAGGAATATGAAGCCACTTGATTTAAATCTTGCAACATTATCAACAACATGCAGTAAAGACTTGGAGTTGAATTTGGCTAAGTCATTATTGAGTGAGATGGGCCAATGTACAACTGCTTATCCATATAATCAGATGTTTGGAGCATTAGTCTCAAAGAATTAGGAAAGGCAAGATGCAACTTTACTTAGTTGGAATTTGATGTATATAGTAGATTAGATGCAAATTTATATATTGTAAGAAATAGAATTGTATGACATTAAATTTATGTAATGGATTCTATTTTTTGTATATGATATTTTATTTTCTATTATGAAACATTAAATACAAATTTAATTTAAAAATAAGTAAATCTATAAATAATATTTTTTTTAAACATTTAAAATTATGATACGTAAAAATGTGTGTCATCTTCATTTATGACATGACCTTTCTTGACAGGGGCTTTCTTGATACACATTGCGTGTCATTAACACGTGCGTCGTAAGGTTATGACACGCGAATGCGTGTCGTCTTCCTTTATGATAGGGGCTTCCTTGATATGCATTGCGCATCGTAAACGCGCGTCGTAAATGAGCGTCGTCTCTCTTTATGACAGGGTCTTCCTTGACGCGCATTTGCACGTCGTCTGAGCCTTTTACGACGCGCAATGAGCGTCGTAAAAGGCTGTTTTTCTACTACTGGGTAATGTGCCTAACGACGACCAACTTACAATATTATAGTTTATTAGTTCCTATGGGAGTCATGTAATGAAATACAGATCTTCCACTAATACCCATTAATATTGATAATTCTATCAAATAAGGATCAGCAATACATGACAGTTGGAGATAGGATCATTACATCAAATAACTTTTCTAAAAGTCAATAACTAAGCCAACATGACCATTTTACACACCTCTCCTGTAAGTAGATCAATCAGTATTTTAACTTAGAATTACTAATAAATCTTGCTAATTGGTTCATAATAATGAATATGAACATAAACATAAGTTGCACTTGAAATAAAATAAGTGTAGCCTACCATATAATGATTTTAGCAAAAAATCAAGAAATTGTGTGGACAAAATCCTGACCGAAAAGCTCCTATATGTCAGGCCCTCTGACATACTAGAACCTCGCTACTTACCAATGAAAATCCCTAAAATTTGTCTTAAAGAATTTAGGGTGTTTGAGAGAGTTTTAGAATGATTTTGAGTGGATATGAAGTGAAAATCAGGAGAATTTATAGTGGAAAAAGGTTGTGCGCCACGCTCCTAAAGGAGGCCCATCGTGCCTATGCATGGTGTCGGCGACACTCTTCTCTTACCACATCTCACAATCAAATTTAGCCACATTTCCTTCTTCTAGAAGCTTCCACATGTTACTATTTCATGGTGCCATATTTTGGATTCATGTCAACATGTATCTTGGAGGAGTAAGCGGTCGACCTTTCCACGTGCTGCACTCTGGTGCTGCGATGTCATCATTAAGGCGGTTTTTTGCAAATTATCAAACGACCATATCTTTTGCGTACGAGCTCAACAATTTTCATTAAGGTCTCAACATCTAGTTCTTGTTGTAACAAAAAATCATATTTAGGTTGGTTTAGAATGCTAAAGTTTGTGCGAAATTCATAACTCCTTCATACGCACCATTCTGGACTGTCTTTATATCGACAAGTTCATATTTACCAGAAATTCTATTCTCATTTACACTGTTTCGGATAACAATGAACTGAATTGAATTTTGTATTTTGGGCTCGTACTACTACGATGAAACTTTAAAAAATCATAAGTTATTCTCACGAAGTCAGATTTGTACATTTTTATATGCACATTCTTATTTTGATGACTACTATGCATTTCGTTTAGATCACTTCGGCTAATAAGTAATATATCGAAATTTTACTTTTTATGATACGTTGAGCCGTATCAGTTTAATCTTGAAACTTCGAAGAAGCATAACTTCTTCTCTCGATGTTGAATTTAATTGTTCCGTATATATACGAAAACTATATCAATGTTTCCTACATGTTTATCATGATTACATCGGCCAAAAAAGCAATATATTTCTATTTCAAGTTTTATAAATAACGGTTTATATTGAATTATATTGGAATATGAAATACGGTGTTGCAACTATCCTGCACTTATAAAGATTTCGTCCTTGAAATCCTACTTGTAACACACCTTAGGATAATGCGTACATACTAGCCAACTTGGGTTTCATGAGATCAACCTAAGATCTATGCAACGTTGTTGCATCGAATTTTCCTATCAACATTCATTTAGCAGTAGAACTTCATTTTCTACCATAGACGTACTTCCAAACTCGTGAAATTTTCCAAAACTAGTAGCTCGTCGGTCTTGACTTCTAAAATATTATGTTCTATGATTGAAAATCGACTGCAGACGTGAAATTTTGACATAGTTGACTTGTTATAAAGTGATTAATGATAGAAATCTTTCTACGACATTTTAACGGAATCCATTTTCAAGAACATGACTATATAAAGGCTTATGGCAGATCCTTAAAGCAAATTTGATTCTATATTTCAAATGGTATTCCAACCTAGTTTAGGTGTTCCAATATCGTGAATTTTAAAGAAAACTACTTTAATGGTATTACTGGCTTGAAAACAATAGAACCAATACACTAATATTGATGACAAACTCATTATAAGGTTTTCTTTTTAAACTTTTGTGGTTACAATTGATTTAGAGGTTCTTAGTCTACTTTGTATGGATACTAAGGTTTAATTGTCATCCTATGTTGACCTAGGATTCGGTTCTAGTTTTATATAAACTTTTTCACTTACTACTAGAAGGAATAACTAACAAAATATGTAGTCTACATTGACACAGAAAATAACACAGAAGTATTACCATATGCTTAATGGACATTGTCTTTTTTTTTAATGGTCTCTCCCTATGTGTCTCTAATTGTACTCATGAAAACACTCACTCCTTTGACATTGATCTTATTGATAAAATCCATTCACATGGGTTTGAAAGGTCCTTACTTTGAATCCTCTAACTCTAATATATATCTCAAGTACACCATCCCTTTTATAGTGATCTATGTGACCTTTACTTTGAAGGCACAAACCTGTTGGGTTCTCTTGGCCATCTGAAGTGAACCTAAAATTTCGTTAAATTCTTAAATCTTATCTGATGCGTGAGATGAAAGACCATTCTTCCCTTGAGAAGCAAGACGCCCATATGCTATGGATAATCTTAGCAGAAGACTTCCTTTATCTTAACCATATATCAGAATGAACAACCTTTATCTACTTGGGTTGCATCTTCCTAGACTTAATGTAGAGATTGAAAGTTAAACTTCTTTTCACACTTTCATCATATGGGTTAGTTCTCCCCCACATAGGTTCGACCCCTTGCTTGTTACTTCCTGATTAAAGTCAAGACTAGCTCTATCTATGTGATCTATAGATCCTTTTTAACTTTGACGAAACTCATTTTGTCATGTCCAATGACCTTTTATATTCTTATCGTAGTACTAGTCCTTGTGCCAAATAAGATGGTAACAACGACAATATACTAGCTAGCAATAGCATACAGTTAACATTTTCATCTTTATTATAATTTCAATATCATATATTTATTACATAGGGTTTTATGTAAGTCTAAAAATCCTATTAATCTCTCCTGATGCAATCACATTCATGCTGGAGCTTTCCTCGATCAGAAGAACAACCAACTAGTTGCAAGGCTCACCCTTTGGCTCTTGGGGTTCAACTCTGCCATAATTTCCATCGTTTATCCTTAAAGTTGTGGGTGTTGGCGCTTGTATTGTGCCTAATGGATTCAGAGGAGGAAGGTTGTCCTTGATGTGGCTTATTTGGTTGTTGCGGAAAAAGATACGTGTTCCTTATAATCCCTTCTTACAGTCTCTGTTGTAATGTCCCTCTGTACAACACTTGTAGAATAATATATCACGACAAACTCCTTTGTGGGGATTCGTACACATGTTTGATTAAGGATATCTCTTTCTTCTAGACCTCAATTTTTTGGGCTTGACTTTCTTCTTTATTGGCTGCGACGGAGATAGATTCTGCCTCTTCTCCTTTTTCCAAGTTTCCAACTTGATTTCTCTTCTCCTGGCACGCTCCTCCATATTTGCTAAATCTTTGTATTGATTGTTCGATACAAACTCCCTGAATAAGGCACTCTTAGTGAACATCTTGATGATCTCGGTCACTAATTCAGTGGTCAGATTGAGTGACATATAGTGTTGAATGAGACACTCTCTTTCTACTGGTGGAACATACTCCGCCTTGAACTTCAATAAATTTCTCCTAAGTCACCATGCTTTTCTCCACATGTGAATAGTTCTTAGTTACAATGTTCCACCAATCCTTTGATCTTACAGGTAGAAGATTTTGCGCATATATGAAATTCAGGTTTGCCGGATAAGAAAAAGTGTGGTAGCACCATTCCACATCCGAGATCCACCTCATGGAAACAACTGAATCTTTAACACCATCAAACTATGGGGTCTCGATGTTATTGAACTCTCGATAAGGTATCTCATTTTCTCTTGGTGAGGATGCAGCAACGACAACAGTAGTTGTTGTGGTGATAGTGGTATTGGAAACAACAATGTACCATTCATCTAACAAGGCGATTAGTTTTGTTTTCATAGTTAGGAATATTTCCGAAATTATATCTCTTATTGTTGTTGATACGGCCACCTTAATCCAATCACGTATCTTAATCTCACTTGGTCCTGACCCTTCAGATCTACAACCCGAGCTACTTGCTCTTGTAATCATCACCATGTTGGGGTCATAACGGGAATTGGTTAATATAAATTGAACTAACTCTCAAAATGGTATTTGAGTCCTCCCCAGTTCCTTAGCAACTGTGTGTCTTTTCTTGATTTCGATATGGATCCTATGCCTCTAGTGGTATGGTCCCATACTACTTTCCACATCTATCCATACTAGATCCTAGAATTGATCCAAGGTTTCCAAGTCACTAAACTTTTCTATTTGATTGGCCTTTTCACACACAGTGTTTCAAGGACCAAATTATTTCTTTCATATACTTTACGAGGTTCTTGTGTCTCTACGAATGCCCTATCTTACAAATATATACACTATTAAGTATATAATAAACTTCCTAGACTATCCTTCTAAGATTCCTTCCACTCCTTTCCACTAT